GGTTCTGCACCGCCGGCACCTCGGCGTACGCCCGAAGCAGCTCCGGCTTCGGGAGGTGTCGGGAACAGAGCGCTCGTCTTCTGGAGGCTAACGTGGGGAATTTGGTGAAATATTGTACGTGGGGATACCTGGGAATCGGCCCGTGCTTTGTGCCATTCGCTTACAGGTCCAAATATATCCCGAAACGTTCTGAATTGCCGTTACTGCCTTTTTCTTTTTTTTTTCTTTCTCCCCTGGCAAATTGAAAAGCCCAGATACAAAAAATCATTTCAGATCAGAGCAGAATGTGTTCTGACATTTCAGAGCTTTTCATTTTTCTAAATCCTTTTAAAAATGCATTTCAAAACGCTTCAGCTTGTCATGTAGAGGAATGAAAGCACTTCATTTAGAAACAGCAAAATGAAACATGCTGGTTGCTTCCACGTTCGTTTTACCTTCTTATTTTCCTTCCTGTTAAAGCGATTTGGTAGAAATGACAGAGCTGAATGACAATGAACCACATTTTCATGGTTTGGTAAAGAAAATTGTGACCATAAATGCTACTCACTTCTGTCTGAAATTGTATGTGTTTTCATAAATAACACATGACGATGCTGTTTTAGATGATGATTAGATGGGTTAAAGATTTTATTTTTTATCTTTTTAATGAAACATAGATATATAGCAGAAATCGGAAGCTTTCAATCCACAATCTTTACAATCTTTTTTCTAAGGCATGGAACTTTAATACATGAAAGGGAAGGAAGAAAAGCAAAAAAAAAAAAAGTAAATGCAAGTAAAAGATTTCAAGTGCCGTGGAAGACTGTTGAGGACTGACTCGGTTGCTCAGTGTAATGCTGTGTTGGTGTTTCAAGTCAATGGGTGATAACAAAAGGCGCTAACTTTCCCTAGAGCTGAGGCTTCAGCTTTCTTATCCCTACAATCGTAAGGTAAGAAACATGAGAGAAAAAGGAGCAAGCTGGGTTTGCCAAGACTTTGAGGAGTCCTGCCAGTGTTTGGCCTCAGCCACCCAACTACGTTCTCAGCTCAGAGCTTACTGTAATCCCTTTCATGGCATGAAAACATCTTTGACTGCAATCCATTTGCTCTCTAGTGATCTAGACGCAACCCCTGGATTCTGCAAGGTCTAAGCAAATTCTGGCCCGAGGGCCTCCAGCTCTGGTACCTAACGACTGAACAGCTCTGCTCAAAGTCACCCCGTGCTACCATGTGTCCTGTGATGCACCACCAAGTCCCGGATCTTTGCTATTTGTGGCCTCGAGTTGTAGGGCTCAAATGAAATATCATGATGGAAAATCTGAACCTTGGTATATCTTGGTTCTTTCAGTTGGCACTGAAAGAAAATGAGCAAACAAACCAACTGACTGCACGTAGGCTCTCTCGGGACTTCTTTCTCTCTAAATAAGCATATACAATGTATTTTGCAGCCAAAAAATATTATCCCATGTAAATAAGGGCTGTTGTATTGAAAACGATACTCCTGGTATGAGCATCAAATTCGTTTTGAATTTTATTTCAAGTTTTAAAAACTCTGTTTCAAAAGAAACAGATATGTGTGATCAAAAAGTAGTATTTGGTCTGTATTTTAAGCAGAAGGGTCTGGAGGGATCTAGGGTAAAGTAAAATATCTGAGTAGACTTCTCTTTTCTCTTCTGCTCAAGATGATGGAAGACGTGCAAATTTATGTTGTCAAATTCAAATTGTCCAAGACTAATTCAAAAGAATTCAAAAGCTGAAGCTCCCCAAGCCTGCCAAAAGTTAGACTACCTTGTCTAAATCAATTACTGCAGAATAACCATCTGCTAATAGTCCGTGCGCTGTAACACAGCCTCTTGGAATCTTACTACTCCAGTGAGGGAAAAATGAAAATAAAAGCAAGCAGAAGAAATCCCAGGGGACTGTAGCTTCAGGAGGCGAAAAATTGGTGCTTTTTGCTTGCCTGTCTCTTCCCAGTTTCCTGCCCCCTTCAGCGTATGAGAAAGACAAGAAGAGTTTGTGCACTTTGGAAACTCGATAGGAGGCAGCAGCTGATCTTCCCATCACCAGCCTAAAAATAATCCACTCCAGGGCTTGGAGCGGCTTCACTAAGTGGAGGAAAATCCTGCCATCGGGATGATATTGATCACATAGCACAACCGAGTGACAGTTTGGGTTGGTATTTTGTTTTTGTGTTTGCAAAGGTAAGCTACAGAGTTTGATCTAACATTCAGCAACCAAACGGGGCATGCGATGACCCTCCCCCATTATCTCCCACTAACCACCTCCTCCTCCTTCCCTTTATATCTGTGGGACAGGGCTGCTCCTTGTTCTTTCCCGGGATTACAACTCCAATCTCTTTTTCCTTTTCCTTTTCCATTCGCAGGCATTCTCAGCCTTTACCGTCCCCTCCTGCTGATGTTTTCTTTGCTGCTGTTCACAGGGTTACGTTTCTTTTTTTAAACTGTCCTGTCTTGGCATGTGAAGTCGAAGGTTTTACAGCAGGCAGTGTAGCACGCTGGTGTTTGAAATCGCACTGTGTTAAGCAGCTTACCAAAAAAGAAAAAAGCCATGTATTAGATGTGCGAGACCACTGCAGATGCTTGTGTGAAATGCTTTTCAGTGCCAATAGCCTGTTTAGCACCACTGCTGTTGTGATTTTCTCTGTGTTTGGAGCCTGATCCAAAAACCTACCGAAGTCAATGAGATTCTTTGCATCAGCTTCAATAACGTTTGGATCAGGCTGCGGGTATATGGCAGTTAGTGACGTGAATGCTGACAAGTATCGGAGGTAATTCATCACCTTAAGGCCCAAGGTAACTGGGACAGTGCTCAGCAGGGAAGCGGCGTCTGTCTAGAATAGATGGTCACAGCTTAAATAGGAATAAAAAGGAAAATGGTATTTTGTACAGGATCGTTTTTGATAAAATAGATTTTAAAGGAGCAGCACTTTCTGCCATTACCTTAGCAGAACTCTTTGCAAATACTGCATAGACTATAGATCACATAGATTGCGTTAGGTCCAGTGCTTTTAGGAAGGTAAGAAGAACAAACTAGTAGGTTTATACCTAGAAAGGAAAAATATTCAGAGCACTAACCTAAAATCTGTGGCAAAACTCAGAGTTAGGCCTTCCATTGTGCTTATCTAAACCCATAAATTCATAATTTGGCCTTAGTTAAAATTTTCTCTGTGAAATTCAAGAAGGAAAGACAAATTCTTGCTTTTGTAATGACTTAATTATTCAGAAGATAAGAAAGAACTACTTTTGTAAAACTCTGAGTACTTTCTCAATCCTGCATCTGTATGCATATACATGTATATAGGCATATCTGGGCACATAATGCACATTATATGTAAGACCAAAAAAGAAAAAAAAATCTGAACCGAGACCCAAGTATGCCCTGTAAGCTGATATATTTTAATTAGGAAGTGCAGCTATTAATTTATATCTTTTTTTAAATATAGGCAACAGAACTACTGAAATAAATGTTTTTCAAAATATTCTTATTTCCCCCAAACAAGGTCCACTTGAGGAGTGTATTTATACTCTTTTCTTTATAGTCATAAGTATCTTGCAGAGCATGCCGAACAGAGTGACAATCTGTGTAAGATGAAAGTCTTGAATATGAAGACTTTTAAGTCCACTTTAAAAGACCCTAAGGTAATTAAAATGTCTTTAACTAGAATTCTTACAGTTTTGCACTCGGTAAGGATGTTCTCATAATTTTAATGGAAATTTAAATTATCTGCCATTTTCCCATTGTCTTCTTCACAATTGCTTATGGAAAATATATCTCAGGAACTGGCTTAGTGCCCTGAGGATCCCCATTTATGCTTGTTAAAATGAGGTTTGTAGGTGTTTAGGTTCGATGCTACATCATATTCATGTTTACAACTTTGTCCTATTTTTTTTCTTCCCAAAACCTTTTTCTTCTTCACAGTGAATATTTATTCCTGAATATCTTTTTTACTGTTTTATGTTTGTTATATTATGACTACGTCTGTACACCTTAGCCCAAAACCAGAAAGCCTCAACTTGCCAGTGATGGGGATTTTAGCATGAAAATTTAAATGCTTGAAGGACATAAGTTTTTTTAGCTATTTCACTGCAGGGTGAACTGCTGTTCAGATAGTTCACATCCTCATAAAAGTAAACCAACAGGGAATCAGATTCCCAAATGATGTAAAGGAGAGCTGAAACTTGCCTTCCACTGGCACCATTGTGGGCCCGTCCTCCTGATTGTTCTTTCCATTCCCCTCCTCTGTGAAGTTTTGCTCGTGGCTTTAGCTTGTAGCTGACTGCTCAGCAAAGGCCACTTTCAAAGGGAGAAAGAAGAACCACCTCTGAAAATTTCTGACCAGTTCTAGAGTTTGTAAAGACTGAAGTTAAAGTGAGCAATTTGTCAATAGCTGTGAAGGACGAAGGCCTTCCAGTCTACAAGTGTTAAAAAATTACCTGGTACTTGGCACCCCTGTTGGCGTGCTGAATGTAGCTGGTACCTGCAGATAGCATGCGCTTGTTATCGGATGATCTTTATCACATCACGGCATTTCCCCTGACTGAAATGCTAGGTTAAACCTAGTATGCTCGGCAACATTATTGTAAAGTATAACAT